TATACATCAAAATATTGAAGCCGCGTTAACATTACTACAAAATAGAGGCACCCACAAGTAATTTGATTATCAACAATATTTTTTATATGCATTGCACGATTTAAAAATGAATCAATTTAAATGGCGTAAAAATTCATGAATTATTTTATTGTTTAGACAAATAGCTATGGTTCCAATCCGTGAAATGAACGAAGAAAGAAAAACGTTTTTTTGCCAAGGATTGCGTTTTTACCATAATTGTTTTTTAACAAATAACCTTTTTGACTAAATTGTTTTTAAAAAAATATTCGAGTCCTAGTTACGATAGTAACAATCTCAGAAAGTACAGTGAAAACAGTACAAACGATATCATCAAATTTCAGAAAGTTGTTCAATACAGAATTTAATAATCAATCTGAATCTTCTATGTTCATATTGTTTTCAGAATTATGCAATGTATCATTCAATTTTTGTTTTTAATACTAAGCAATTTAACATTTGAGATTATTTAATAAATTACAAAATTTATACATAGTGAAAAGTAAATTAAAAATTACAAACCTACATTCCCTTACATTAAAAGAAAAAAGATTTGAAATTCTATAACCATCAAAATAATCGGTGTAAATAATTTTTAAAAACTCAATGATTAATTAACAATATATATCGTGTTAACCAAGCGAAATTGGCACCGCTAACGATCAAAGACAATAGTCAATGACAAGATTCCACGTCCGAAAAGTTTTCACAACTATGTAATTTTAACACTCAAGTTTATGAAAATTAAAATCCAAAAAACGTAAAATATTTGGTGAAAAAATAATAGTTTAATATATTTAAAAGGATTTTTTTAATGAAAAAAATAAATATGAATTGTGAGTATTAAATTTACATTATATTGTGTTGACATAACGAATTTAGCACCGTTAACGACCAAAGACAAAAAGTCAATGATAGGATCTTACCTCCTAATGATTTTCACAAATAAGTAATTTAATACCCACATTTCTTTAATTAAAAATCTAACATATTCCGTAAAAACAAAAGCTAAAGTCAAATAAATTTTAAAAGCTCAATGGAAAAAAAAAAATTATCAAAGTTTGTTGATTAAAAATCCGGGAAAAAACCTAAAATATTCAGTGAAATCTTTTTGTCAAATCAGTTTTAAATTTTTGAAAACATCATAAAAAAAAAAACTTTTGTGAGAGGCTGTTATGATAAATAGAACACGTACCAAATTTTCAAGGTAAAAAAATCTTTGATCTCTTTGTCGGTGAAGCTTTAAAATAATTCTTCGTAAACTGGAACAAAGCAATAATACAAAGAATCAAATATAGACATTTATTAATCTGATAAAGTATCGTGATTCATAGATCATAATACTTTAAATTGCAAGAAAATTAATTGAAACTTACATGGATCTCTAATCTCTTTGTTGGGTTTGTTGCTGTTTGACAATTGACATATAAATCTCCCTGCTACTGCCATTCCACAGTAAATTCCTGATTCAATCAATCACACACAAAAGCCTCAAAACTTCGAAATCAAGAAAGAAATTTTATTTTATGTTAATATTATCATTTCCTTTATC